GTAGGTAGGTAAGATATCATCACCTCAGGGAGGGGGGCGATGATAACTTCCTCAATGGCTCAAGGGGGCGTTTCAAAAAGGTTAAGAACCACTGCTCTAAACTCAAGAGCCCCAAATGCTGTAGCCTTTCCTCAGAAGGGAGGTTCCCCAGCCCAGTCACTATTTGAGTCGCTCTCTTCTGCAGCTTTTCCAGTTCCACAATGTCTTTTTTTTTGAGGAGCAGTGACCAGAACTGTATGCAAGACTTTAGGTGCGGCCTTATCATTCTTGCCCTTAGGAAGATCTCAGGGCTGTCTGTATTCTGATTACCGCTGTCACTCTTGGCACTTTATCACTGGCTCTTAATTTTTTTATCCTACAGAAATCCGTGCCAAGACTACACTGTTCCTTTCAGTGTTCCTATAATATTTATTACCCATGGCGATAAAAGGAAAAAATGAACCAAAAGGAAAGATTAAAAAAAAGAAAAACAGCAAATCCATGAGGCTAAACATCATTAACCCATACATCGGAACTGCAAAATAGCTCATCTTTTAATCCATATGCAGAATTTATCATCTTTGCCTCCTGTCCGAGTCAACAGAACACATAATGTGACCATGTGGGGGGGGGGAAGGTGTTTTAAGGAGTCCGTATATCCAGAACCCTTCAGCTTTCAAACATCTAAAACAATGTCTGAGATTGTGTTGCACAGCTCCACATAGACAATGGGAGTGATTGCCGCTGTTTGAAGATGACTTCAGGGTGAATCTGACATATTTTATGCTCCGTAAACCTAAATTTTAATGCCAAGAGTGTGGGAACAACAAAAGGTGTGCTAGGAAGGAAGGCCGCCTTGAACCCTTCCTGGACACTGTAGTTGTCACAGAAGGAGACTTTACACAACAGAAGGTGGCCTATAATAAGGCCTTGCTGGGGTTCCTTCTGTCATCCTACTGACAGTTCCATTTGTGACCCCATGACTGCAAGGGCCATCATCATATTTTCTGTGGCACTTTTTTTTTTGAAGGGGGGAAACATCCTGGCTGCTCCGAGAGGGCTCTGTGTTCTTCCGAACAAACCCATAAAAGTCCAGGGGATTGGATCTTCTCTTATGCAGCCCAGAGTGGTGCAGTCTTCACTTTGGTCCACCTGGAAGGCTGAGAAATGTCCAGCCCAATGTCACAGCTTTATTTGGTTCCGGCTGGCGTGAGGTAACCTTGTTGGCCCCTTTTTTTACTCAGGGAGGAGAAAAAAACAGTGAGAAACAGTTACAGGTGTTCTTTTGAAGGCGTACACACTAAGATCTGCTAAGAAACTATTTTAAGAAAATATCTCACACTGTATCGGGAACATTTCTATTGATTATTTTGAGCATGAATACTTGATATTGAAATGGTCTCTATTTATTCAGCCTGTCACTTGAACAGAAGGTCTTTCTGCACTCCAGGTAAGGTTTCTCCCCCTGTGTGAACTCTGAGATGCAAAAGCTTTCTGACTGAAGCTTTTTCTACAATCTTGGCACTTGAAGGGTTTCTCACCTGTATGAACTCTTTTTAAGCATTTTTCCACACTCAGGTCATTTCTGCACGACATGTGTTTTACAGATGACTATTCTATCTGAAGAACTTTCCAGACACTTAAGAGTTCTCTCCTATGAGAACTGTTGGCTGGAAAGCAGGTGCTGACTTTTGACTAAAACGAGTTCTGTGCTCCAGACACTTAAAGAGTTTCTTCACCGTGTGAGAACACTTCTCATAAGATCTCCACCAAAAAGGGAAGCTCATTACACACTCCCGATATTGTTAAGATTTCACTCCTTAAATCTTCCATGGAAAACAAGGCCATATCTTTGTGTGTGTGTGTGTGTGTGTGAGAGAGAGAGAGAGAGAGAGAGAAGATCTTCCCACACTCTTGGCATCAAAATGGTTTTTTACCTGTGAGGATTCTACGTTGCCAAGAAAGGTTTTTCTTCCGATGAAAACTCTTTCCAGAATCAAGACATTTAAACAGCTTCTCCCCTTGAGTGAATCCTTTTATGGTTTATAAGATGTGCTCTCTGTCCAAAGGTTTTCCCACATTCCAGGCACTCAAAAGGCTTCTCGCCTGTGTGGGTCCTGTGATGTCTAACAAGCACTGCACGTTGACTGAAGCTTTTCCCACACTCCGGGCATTTAAATGGCTTCTCTCCTGAGTGAATTCTTTTATGGGTTGTGAGATGTGCTCCCCGTAGAAAAGTTTTCCCACAATCCAGGCATTCAAATGGCTTCTGCCCTAAATGAATTCTTTCATGGGTTATAAGATGCGGCCTCTGCCCGAAGGTTTTCCCACAATCCGGGCATTCAAATGGTTTCTCGCCTGTGTGGGTTCTACGGTGTGTAGCAAGATGTATGTACTGACTGAAGCTTTTCCCACAGTCCAGGCATTCAAAAGGCCTCTCGCCTGTGTGGGACCTGAGGTGTGTAACAAGAACTGCACGTTGACTGAAGCTCTTTCCACACTCCAGGCATTTAAATGGCTTCTCCCCTGAGTGAATTCGTCCATGGGTCGTAAGGTGTGCTCTCTGTCCAAAGGTCTTCCCACACTCCAGACATTCAAATGGCTTCTCACCTGTGTGGGTTCTGTGATGTCTAGTAAGGTGTATATGTTGACTGAAGCTTTTTCCACACTCTGGACATTTAAATGGCTTCTCCCCTGAGTGAAACATTTTATGGGTTGTAAGACTTTCCCTCAGTCCAAAAGTCTTCCCACACTCCAGGCACTCAAAGGGCTTCTCGCCTGTGTGAGTCCTGTGGTGTCTAGCAAAGTGTATATGTTGACTGAAACTCTTTCCACACTCCACACATTTAAACGGCTTCTCTCCTGAGTGAATTCGTTCATGGGTTGTAAGACTTTCTCTCAGTCCAAACATTTTCCCACACTCCAGACATTCAAAAGGCTTCTCGCCTGTGTGAGACCTGAGGTGTGTGGCAAGCACTGCACGTTGACCGAAACACTTTCCACATTCCAGACACTGAAAAGGTTTCTCCCCTGAGTGAACTCTTTCATGAGTTATAAGATGTGATTTCTGTCCAAAGGTTTTCCCACATTCCAGGCATTCAAAGGGCTTCTCGCCTGTATGAGTTCTGTGATGTCTAGCAAGGTCTGCATGTTGACCGAAACTCTTTCCACACTCCAGGCATTTAAATGGCTTCTCCCCTGAGTGAATTTTTTCATGGGCTGCGAGATGTGCTCTCTGTCCAAAGGTTTTCCTGCATTCCAGACATTCAAAGGGCTTCTCTCCCATGTGGGTTCTGTGATGTCTAGCAAGGTTTCCAGATTGACTGAAACTTTTTCCACATTCCAGGCAAGTAAACGGTTTCTCTCCTTTGTGAACTTTTCCATGGGAATCAAGTTCCAATTTACGGGCAAAGGTTTTCCCACATTCGGGGCATTCATGGCTTCCCTCGCCCTTGGATGTTTTCTGAGGAACTTGGGTTTCCTCTAGAGGAGAAATTGATTCGTCCATCTTCTTATCTATTTGTTTTCCTCCCAACTTCTTCCTTTTGTCTTGATTCTCACCCACCTCTTTGGCATCCAGACATTCACCCTTTTCCTTTGGTACTTGACGTCTTCCCTGTTCGTTTCTTCTCTCTGACATTTTTAACTGCTAAAAAGAGACAAAACAAATGTGAGTGGGGAAAACAGCTTTTCTATTCAACTATCAAATCCAATGAATTGTCATGGAGGATCCAGGATAATAAACTCCAGCTCTGAAGGCGGCCCCATCTTCACAAACATCAGTTGGGAGGCTGATTCTGTCACCAATTAAGACACTAAGGGAAACCAAACAGGAGATTGATCACACCTCTCAGCCAGTTAGATATGGGATAAGCCACTCTACCTCTTATCCTGATATGATATCTATGATATTCCATGAGGACACGGTGGTGTTCCACGCTGGGGGAAACCCTAGTGAGATCCATGGTTAGAAACAGATGTGGGTGGTTTTCATATTGCTCTAGATCTCTCTCACAGAAAGTTGCATACCTCCTCCACCCATGTTCATGATGCTGATGATTACTTACAAAGTCCAAAACAGCTTGGGTCACCTGGATATTTTGAGGGAGTAGCTCTCCCTCTATTTATTTGCTCCATGATCTCCTTTTGGGTGAGGTATTCTTCATGGGCCACGGTCAAGAACAACACACAATGTGAAGATGAGGAAAGAGACTTTTTACCTGGTCAGAATCCCCCAGCGATGGTGTTCCTATTGATACACCCCAGGTTCAAATTATATGATATTGGGTGGGCTATGATCATGATCAAACTAAATAAATGGGGAAAAGGCAAATTATCTATCTATCTATCTATCTATCTATCTATCTGTCTGTCTGTCTGTCTGTCTGTCTGTCTGTCTGTCTGTCTGTCTGTCTGTCTGTCTGTCTGTCTGTCTGTCTGTCTGTCTGTCTGTCTTCATTCCTCGCAATTATAAACTGCCTCATTAGAATCACAGAATAATTCAGTTGGAAGGGGCCTTTAATGCCATCCAGTCCAACCCACTGCTCAAGGCAGGAATCCAACTCAAAGCAGATCTGACAGATTCTTATCCAATTTTCTCTTGAATGCCTCCAGCATTGGAGCACTTAGCATCAATGCTATTTTAGGCTGGATTAGTACAGCCTCCAAATCCTGTGAGGTACGAGTTCCTTTCTATTCTGCACTGGTGAGGCCTCAACTTGAGTACTGTGTCCAATTATGAGCATCACACTCTAAGAAGGATGCTAACAAATTGGAACAAGTTCAGAGGAGGGTGACAAGGATGATCAGAGGGCTGAAAAGCCAAGCCCAGGGAGGAAAGGATGAAAGAACTGGGCATGTTTAGCCTTGAGAACAGAAGACTGAGAGAGACAGGATAACACTTTGCAGATAGTCAAGGAGGAATTGAGAACAGAAGACTGAGAGAGACAGGATAACACTTTACAGATAGTCAAGGAGGGGCAGAATCTGTTCTTGATCATCTCAGAGTGCCCAGTGGGCTCAGGTGACAGATTTTTGGCTGAATATCAGGAAAATGTCTTAACTGTTAGAGCAGTACAACAATGGAACCAATTATCTCAGGAGACGGTGAGTGCTCCAAGGCTGTAGCCATTCTAGACAAAACTGGACAACCATCTGTCAGATCTACTTTGATGTAGATTCCTGCACTGAGGAAGGGGTTGGATTCTGTGGCCCTATAGAACCTTTTCGAACAGCATCATTCTATTATTCTATTTATCCTTTGGTCAGATCCTCCCTGAAATCCTGTGTCGAATTCTGGACACCAGAAGCCAGAACGTGTCCAGAGCAGGGCAACCCGTATGCTCAAGGTCCAGAAACCAAGCCCTGTGAGGAACGATCTTCAGATATTTCGAAGGACTGTCATGTGGAAGTTGACACAAGCTTTTCCCCCCCCGTAGATCCAGTGGGGAGGACCTGACATCATAGATTCAAATTACAGTGGTACCACGCACAGCGATGTTCGAAGGACTGTCATGTGGAAGTTGACACAAGCTTTTCCCCCCCCGTAGATCCAGTGGGGAGGACCTGACATCATAGATAATCTGAATTAGCATTTTTTGACATTAAATCTGTTCGACAGTAAAATGGACTGCCTTAGAGGATGGTGGATCCTCCTTCATTTTTCTGACAGCTCTGGATTCCTGGATTTGGTAGGAGGTGGAACTTAATGACCCTCAAGCTATTTTTGCTCCTTATTTTCCATCCGTTGTCCAGTTAAAGCTCACTTTGCTTCTGACTGCGCTGTAGTTGTGCTGAACGACTGAGAGAGAAACACACACAGTTACCTATTCTGAGGAGCAGATTCCTGAGGATTCAGAAGAAGGCGACAGCTTTGTGATAATCGGTAAGCGAAACAGGGTACCGATCATCGCAAAGCGATTTCCCCCCATTTAAAACATCGCAATGTGATCGCAAAGTTTGTCAGTATGCGATTTCGTTGTTAAATGGGGCGCCCGTTAAGCGAGGCATCACTGTATTAGCATTTTTTGACATTAAATCTGTTCAACAGTAAAATGGACTGCCTTAGAGGGTAGCGGATCCTCCTTCACTTTTCTGACAGCTCTGGATTCCTGGCTTTGGCAGGAGGTGGAACTTAATGACCCTCAAGCTATTTTTGCTCCTTATTTTCCATCCGTTCTCCAGTTAAAGCTCACTTTGCTTCTGACTGCGCTGTAGTTGTGCTGAACGACTGAGAGAGAAACACACACAGTTACCTATTCTGAGGAGCAGATTCCTGAGGATTCAGAAGGTGACAGAAGATCAATCCAGAACAATCCTGTAGGATCCAGAGAAATTCAGATGGAAAAACACCCAGTCCTGGTGAAAATAAAAGAAAAAAAATGTAAAAACAACTAATGAAGCCTGAAAGGAAATACAGTTTGAAAAAGAAACAAAAAAAGGAGAAAGCAGAGCTGTAACTAAGAGTTTGGCACCAAGAGAAAAGAGCACAAATTGTGCCTTCAAATCAACGTTTAAATTCATGTTGTAAAAATAATACAAATTGAAACCACCACTGAAAACCTCACCATAACCCCTCCTCATCCAATGGGGATCAGCAGCACTGTCAGAGAGTGACAAATGCCCACAAACAAACAAACAAATAAAAGGAATTTATGCACAAACACACGAGATACAGGTACGCCAGCCCTGCATCTGGATGCTGTGTCCAAATATACACAGGGCCATACATGGTATGGGGGGGAAAGCAAATTCTTTGTCTATGTTTCATCTGATATTGTCAGGAGTTCTTTATTTTCTCTCTCTCGCAACTCCAGAGGGAACACCAACAAGCAGAGCTTCCCCATCTCTGCCTCCCTGAAAGCAAAAAACCAAGAGGTTATATACTTTGATACACAGGGCCATACATGGTATGGGGGGGGGAAAGCAAGTTCTTTGTCTATGTTTCATCTGATATGGGCCCATAACACCAACAAGCAGAGCTTCCCCATCTCTGCCTCCCTGAAAGCAAAAAACCAAGAGGTTATATACTTTGATAACATAAGAACCTAAGAAGAGCCCTGCTGGATCAGGCCAAGGGCCCATTAGTCTGGCTTCCTGGATCTCACAGGGCGCCCCGCCAGATCCCTCTGGGAGCAAAGAGACAACTAGACATCTGTCTCCTGATCCCCCTCCTCTGCATCTGGCCTTTGGAAGTTCCTTCCTTTGAAGCCTGGAGATTATATATCCCCATCATCATGGCTTGTCACCTGCGATGGACTTTTCTTCCAGGAATCTGTCCAACCCCCTTTTCAAGGGCTCTAGGCCAGATGCCATCACCACATCCTGTGGCAAGGAGTTCCACAGACTAACAACACGGAAAGTGTTGATGAGACGGTAGGCACATAATCCAGCAACAGCACTGCACGAAAGACAACCTCTGTACCAGAAAAAAAGTGGAAATTGAGCTCTTTAATACAGCATGTTCATCCTCTTTTTTCTCCACCCTCAAGTCACAAAGGAAGAGAAAGGTGGAGAGAGAAAACAGAGAGGGAATCCTTACCAGATCTCATTAAGGAGCAAAAAACGCAAGGAGGAGAAAGTAACGCCTTTGACTTGCCAGGAAGAGAGGAGGAAAAAGGCTTTGCGGAGGACGTGCCCCCCCTCCAGTCCAACTTCGTTCCCCCTTTCAGAAAAGTAACGCCGTTCCTTTTAGGCCAAGCCGCCCAACGCGTCTCTTATGGCAGGGGTGGGCAAACACGAGGCCCCCCAGGCTGGAAAGGCTGCTCTTGATTCCCCCTACTACAACTCCCAGAATCCCCAGACAGCAGAACTACAGGTGGTGGTGTCCAAAAACAAAAGGTTTCCAATATCTTTTATACCTACGTACTGTAAATCCCCAGACAGCAGAACTACAGGTGGTGTTGTCCAAAAACAAAAGGTTTCCAATATATTTTATACCTACGTCCATCCCTCCAAAGCTTTGGGCAGGTTTGTTCTTCCCCAGACTACAACTCCCATCAACTCCCTCAAAGGTCCTGCTGGCTGGGGTTTCTGGGACTTGTAGTATTTCAGGAAAATCGTGCTTTCGGGCTCTGGAGATCCTCCTGCCACAAAGTTTAGAAAAACATTAATTTTTTTTTAGACGACGTTTCGCAAAAAGCTTAACGACCCCCTGGAAGAGTTATGGGAGTTGTAGTCCAGGGAAAAAAAGGATGACTTTCAGAAATTCCCATTCAAATTGATGCCTCCTGCGTAGGAAAGGAGGCGGGACTAAAGGGGGCGGAGCTTCATCTCCGGTGAACGAGGCCTCCTCTTCCCCATTTCCTGCCTCTCTAGGACTCGCGCGTTCTTATGCTTTTAACCCTTTCAGAGCTGAGGTCCACGCGCCTTCCTCTGCTTGGCTCACAGAAAGCCTAAGGAAAAAAGATCAATGCGCTGCACCCAAATTATAATTTTATGATTATATTTCCTCTGGATGCAACTGTTGCCGACATTTTTTTTTTACTTTTGTTCCTAGATTTTATAGAGGCAATTATAATTCATTATCTGTGTTTTTTCCCCTGCCGACAATTTTTTTTTACTTTTGTTCCTAGATTTTATAGAGGCAATTATAATTCATTATCTGTGTGTGTTTTTTTTCTTAACTTGCTGATAAACAAAACCAAGAACTTGGGTCTCTCTGATCAAACTGTTCCTAGCAGGAGAGGATTAAAACGTCACAACGTGCTATTTCTCCATCCTTCTTCTCTCCCTGGGCTTCTTCTTGGGGGGATACTGTTCCCCACTATCTTCTGGATGACATCTCTTGTGCAAATGCTGACTCCTCCATCACTGTTCCTAGCAGGAGAGGATTAAAACGTCACAACGTGTTATCTCTCCATCCCTCTCTCTCCTTGGGCTTCTTCTTGGGGGGGATGTTGTTCCCCACTATCTTGTGGATGATATCTCTTGCCCAAATGCTGACTCCTCTGTCTCTACCCGGGCTCTCTCCTATTATCCTACACCACTCTCTGCTTTTTTTTGTTGCTCCCCGCAGTAGGGCAGGAGAGGATTAAAACGTCACAACGTGTTATCTCTCCATCCCTCTCTCTCCTTGGGCTTCTTCTTGGGGGGGATGTTGTTCCCCACTATCTTGTGGATGATATCTCTTGCCCAAATGCTGACTCCTCTGTCTCTACCCGGGCTCTCTCCTATTATCCTACACCACTCTCTGCTTTTTTTTGTTGCTCCCCGCAGTAGGAGAAGGCTTTCTGGGTGGACAAGTCCATCATCTACTACACCTTTTGGCCTCCTTTCTGGGGATCCTCAATATTTCCCCCTTAGGGGTTCTGGTTTTTCCTTCTCCTCCTTTGCTTCAACTGTGCCAGCTTCTACCTCCCTCTGTCCCTGGCTTGTACTCTCTTTCCTTTTTTATAGCCTCCTCCTGCACCCAGTAGGACAAAACTTTCTGGCTGGACAAGTCCATCATCTGCCACACCTTTTGGCCTCCTCTCTGGGGATCCTTAGGGGTTCAGGGGTTTTCCATCCAGACCCCAGTCCCAAATGTCAGGAAATATTTCCTTCTCCTCCTTTGCTTCAACTGCGGCAGCTTCTGCCTCCCTCTGTCCCTGGCTTGTGCTCTCTTTCCTTTTTTATAGCCTCCTTCTGCACAACATCCTTCCCCTCCTCCTGTGGTTTTAAATTTCCCCCCTTTCCCCTCCCGTCTCTCCCCTCCTCGTCCTCAGAGGGTTTTTTCCTTTCCTCTCCTGTTTTCCCCCCACATCTTCTTTTTCTCCTTCCTCTCTTCTCCAACCGTCAGCCTCTCCTTTCCTTGCTATTTCCCGCCGCCTGGACCTTTTTCTTTCTTCTTTCCAGACAGGAGGGGAGACCACTTGGGTGGGATAGTTAGTTTTTTCTGCCCTTTTTCTCACCCTAGGGCTCTTTGCCATTTCCCCATTCCACAGATGAACCAGTTTTTCTTTCTTCTTTCCAGACAGGAGGGGAGACCACTTGGGTGGGATAGTTAGGGTTTTTTTTCTGCCCTCTTTCTCACCCTATGGCTCTTTGCCATTTCGCCATTCCAGAGATGAACCAGGAGGGCTTCAACACAACCACCCGCCAAAGTGATACGAAATTCCCCGAGAGCCACCAGGAAACCACTGGGATCCATTAGCTTTCTGGGGTGCACCATCTTAGTCCGTCCCCCAGCAAAGGTTCTTGAGTTCTATTGAGTCCAAAACCCACCATATAATGATCTCTCCATGACACTCAAACTCCAGGGCGTTCCTCCACAGCCAGGTCAGCAGCACCTACCCTGGTACAGAAAACCAGGCCTAAATTGTGTCCTGCAGCAAAAGTGTCAGCAGATACCATTCGGGACAGGTTGTCGTGGGTTATCGACCTGGAAAACCCCGAAAAGAGCCACCCAAAATCAAAACTGTCTGGATGACACAGACATTTATTATGATTGTGACAATAGGCATTGAGTCTCTTTTTACACTCCAGATATTTATACGGTTTCTCCCCAGCGTGAATCATGGGAAACAAGAGCACCTTGTTTTCTAAAAGCGCTCCAGTTACTCTGGGCATTCAAATGGTGTCTCACCTCTCTGGATGCTATGATGGAAAGAAAAGTCTTCCTTCTGAGGAAAACACCCCAGTCATTTAAATGTCTTCTCTTTACTATGGGTACTTTCATGGCTAATAAGGGAGTACTTCAACCTGAATGTTTTCCCACATTCCTTACATTCAAATGGTTTCTCCCCTGTGTGGATTCTGTGATGGGAATTCAAGCTTGAGCTCTGGCTGAAACTCTTTCCGCACTCTAAACATTTAAACGGCTTCTCCCCTGAGTGGATTCTTCCGTGGGATATAAGATGTGCTCTCTGTCCAAAGGTTTTCCCACATTCCGGACATTCAAAGGGCTTCTGGCCTGTGTGGGTCCTGCAATGAGTCGTAAGGTGTCCACGTTGACTGAAACTCTTTCCGCACGCCAGGCATGCAAACCGTTTCTCCCCCGACAGCTTCGCCCGTGGGGGCTTCTCCCCTGAGTGAATCTTTTCATGGGCTGCAAGGCTATCTCTCATTCTGAAGGTTTTCCCACATTCCAGGCATTCAAAAGGCTTCTCTTCCGTATGGGTCCTGTGATGTCTAGCAAAACTTCCACATTGATTGAAGCTTTTTCCACACTCCAAGCAGGTAAATGGCTTCTCCCCCGAGTGAATTCTTTCATGGGTTGTGAGATGTTCCCTCACTCTGAAGGTCCTCCCGCACTCCTGGCATTTAAATGGCTTCTCGCCTGTGTGGGTCCTATGATGGGTAGCGAGGTTTGCACGTTGACTGAAGCTTTTCCCACATTCCAGACATTTAAATGGCTTCTCCCCCGAATGAATTCCTTCATGGGTTGTAAGATGTGCCCTCTGTCCGAAACTTTTTCCACATTCCAAGCATTCAAATGGCTTCGCACCTGTGTGGATACTGAGGTGTTTAGCAAGGTTTGCAGACTGATGGAAACTCTTTCCACACTCTTGACAGGTAAACGGTTTCTTCCTGCGATGAACTTTCTCATGGCGATCCAGTGCTGATTTATGGGCAAAGGTTTTCCTGCATTTGGGGCATTCATTGCTTTGATCTCCCTTGGAGGCTTTCTGATGGACTTGGGCTTCTTCTAGACGAGCAATGGATTTGTCCCTCGGCTTGTCTTCTTGATTTTCTACCAGCTTCTTCCTTCCACCTTGATTCTCAACATCATCTTCTGCATCTGAACATTCACCCCTTCCCACCAGAGCTTCATATCCTCCCCTTTCGTTTCTTCTCCGTGACATTACTCCTAAAAAAAAAATCAAAAGAAAAATGAGCCAGAAAACAGATTTTCAATTCAAATAACGAAACCAATGGAGGAGAAGCAAATTGAACTCTAAGGGGAACCACCTTCACAAACATCAGTGGGAGGCTGATTCTGTCATCAATTAGGATGATGAGGGAAACCAAACAGGGGAATTATCAAACTTCTCTCTGCTGAACAGAGATCTGACAGACTATTCCATCTCTTTTTCCCCAACATGACATCTATGAGTTTCTGTGAAGAAACAGTGGTCTTCCGTGCTGGCAAAACCCTGGTCAGAAATGGATTGTTTTACAGCCTTCATGAAAGGTTTACAGATTGTTCTAGATCTCTCTCACAGAAAGCTGTAAGGCAGCAAGACGTTATGTCTTAATGACTGCCCCTCTGTTAGACTCTTCCTTCCTTCCTCTGATTGTCTCTTGAGGGGCTATGGGAGGGTTCTTATGGTCAGCCTCTCCGTGGCTGCATCTAACAAAGTGCTCCACTTTGTCTCTTTTCCACGCTTTTGAGTTCACTTCAGAAAATTCTCCACTGGCCGTAGCCCACGGCAAGCTTAGGGCAAATGAAATTTAGTACTCTTAAAGCTGTCAGAAAAACCTTTGATGGTTTGGAAAAATTATCTTGGTATGATATAATGGAAACAAAGTGCTCCACTTTGTCTCTTTTCCACGCTTTTGAGTTCACTTCAGAAAATTCTCCACTGGCCGTAGCCCACGGCAAGCTTAGGGCAAATGAAATTTAGTACTCTTAAAGCTGTCAGAAAAACCTTTGATGGTTTGGAAAAAATTATCTTGATATGATATAATGGAAATACAGATGTTTGATCAGAAGGATCGCAATACCAGAACCAAGGGACTTCCACTCCAATGGAGTTTTGGGAGAGTGAGAACAGACCAAAGAAAATATTTATTGACCCAGCATGTTGTTAGTTTGTGGAACTCCTTGCCACAGGACATGGTGATGGCATCTCAGCTAGAGGCCTTGAAAAGGGGGGTTGGACAGATTCCTGGAAGAAACGAGCATAGCAGGTTACAAGCCATGATGGGGATATATAATCTCCAGGCTTCAGAGAAAGGTACTGTGACATTCCACCCAATGTTCCTTGTTTGTTTCCCCCAAACACAGGTTCACCTTCTGGATACGTTTACTCTTTCTTCCGCTACCACCAGTGGATCTCTCATCCACACTGCCTTATATATGCGTCAGACACATGCTGCCAATATAACTTATTTATTTATCTTTTGGTTTTTAAATCACAGATGTTCTTTTATTATTGTTTAGGATCACTCGGTTAAACTTCTTATATTTGATTACGCGTTTGCTTATTCAGATGTTGTATTCACTTATTCACATTAACCAACTCGTTAATATTCTCTATCTATTTAGCTTTACTATTCCATTTATCTCCTTCTCATTCTAACTCTCGAACTTTCCAGTTTTCTCTCAACTTTCTCCAATTCCTCTAACTACCTCCCTCTGTCTCTTTGACTCCGCCCCTCCTGTCTTCCCATAGGCTACTGCACCTGAGCTTCAGCTATGATAGACAGGAGTGAGTGGGAATTCCACCACATTCTCTATCTATTTAGCTTTACTATTCCATTTATCTCCTTCTCATTCTAACTCTCGAACTTTCCAGTTTTCTCTCAACTTTCTCCAATTCCTCTAACTACCTCCCTCTGTCTCTTTGACTCCGCCCCTCCTGTCTTCCCATAGGCTACTGCACCTGAGCTTCAGCTATGATAGACAGGAGTGAGTGGGAATTCCACCACAGGTCAAAGGCCAGGCCAGATGCAGGGGAGGGGGTTCAGGAGACACATATCTGGTGGTCTCGTGTGCTCCCAGAGGCATCTGGTGGGGCCCCCTGTGAGATATGGGAACCTGGACTAGATGGGCCCTTAGCAGGGCTCTTCTTATGTAAGGAGAATAAAAGACTTAACTTCCACCCCATGTATACCCATCACACCTCATGATTCATGCAGGTTATACGCTTCAGAGTAAGGTACTACCTTCTAAGTAAGCCTAAGAAGTCATATGTTAATGTGAACTATTACGATTCTTAATAATTGTCAGAGCCATATCGATTCCCAACATATTTCTGGTTTTCTAATTTTATTTTTTCCTTACTCAGTGATTAATGAATCCTTTGAGGAGCACTGACATTCATCAAATTTACGGATTATATCCCAACACAAAGAGAAGGTAAGACAAAACTCAGGATTTAGGATGGCCATAACTGATCACAGAACTGAACCAAAACACACAGAATGAATTTCAACCAGAAAGAATGGGGTGGTGGACTCTCCCTCATTAGGGATGGCCGGACAGAGGTTGGGTATCTACCTCTCAGGGATCCTTGAGCTCTGGATGCCAGGCTTCGGCAGGGGGTTGGACTCAATGACCCTCGGGATCCCTTTTCGCTCTACTGTTCCAGGATTCTAATCCCATACAACCCACTGCAAAAAAAAAAAAAAAAAAAAAAAAAAAAAAAAAATCTTACAGAGGCATCCCTTGCAAGCTTCTTTCAGATGAAAGTAGCATCCAGTATGCCAAAAAAGTGGAATTATGTGTCAAGCTTTCGTGCTTCCTTTCCAGCTTCTGTTTTCCTCTCTCTCTCTCTTTCTGCTCAAGAGAGGTTGAGGAGGTATCTTAGTCCAGGCCCCAGATGTGACCCTTCTGCCTTTTTAATATTGTATTTTATATATTTTTATTTTTGTTTTACATTTTTATATAGCTACCTTGTTTCCTTTTGAGGAGAAAATAT